AAGTCCCCATGAGACTCTTGCCTCCAATAAACTACTCAGAAAAAGCTGGAAGTGGTGCTGTGGCTCAAGTGGAAGAGTGCTGGCCTTGAGCAAAAAAAAAAAAAAAGCCCAGGGACACCACCCAGGACCTGAGTTCAGGCCCCAGGACCATAAAAAAAAAGTGAAATGATTAAGAAATCGAAATAGATACAAGACTCTTGTTCAAGAATATGCATCATTGTGTTAAGACACCTTTTGGGAGTAGATAATTATAAGTGATTTTTTAAATCTTGTTTTCACTCAGCAATTATCTATTTTTAAGCCAGGTATCAGTGGTTTGTGTTTGTAATCCTAACTACTCAGAAAGCTAAGACCTGTGGATGACAGTTTGAAGCCAGCTGGAGAAGAGAATTCATCTCCAATTTACCACCAAAAAGCCAGAAACAGGGATGTGGCTCAAGTGGTAGAGCACTAGCCTTGAGTAAAAAAATCTCAGAGACAACATCTAGGCCTTGAGTTCAAGCCCCAGTGATAGCTCACACAGAAAAAAAATCTATTTTTTTTAGGGGGGGGGTCCGGTCATGGGGCCTGAACTCTGGGCCTGGGTGCTGTCCCTCAGCTCTTCAGCTCAAGGCTAGTGCTCTACCACTTGAGCCACAGCTCCACTTGGGCTTTTTTTCTTTTTGCTTATGTGGTGCTAAGGAATCGAACCCAGGGCCCCATGCATGCAAGGCAAGCACTCTACCACTGAGCCACCTTCCCAGCCCCAAAATTCTATTTTTTTTCTCCTCAGGAGGTGCTGGCCAAGGAAAATGTTTCAAAAGGTTTGGAAATCGCCAAATGTTTAGTGGATGAACCTTTTTCTTTGGGAGAAAAGAGAGAGGCTACGAGGAGACAAGGAGACTCTGTGCCACCCAACTTCAGGAAAGTTCCAGACAAGGTTCAGGGAAAAAGAAAGGGTGCATGTGTTTACCTGTCCTTAGTCTGTGTCACAGACATGGCCACAGCCATTGCTGACACATTGCTCTCCTGGTCCACAGTCCCAGTCACCAGTGCAGAGCTCCATGCAGGTACCTACGGTAGAGCAGACCACATGAAAACTGCTGTGCTTTGGGTTCAAGGGCCGGGGATCAAAGCCCTTGATTAAGGAGAGAGTTCAACTTTTTCCTTTTAGCTCAATGCATAACATAATAGAATTACTGGCAGAATAAGAAAGCTCTGTATCTCTTTTAGTTAAAACAATACCTTCACATGCTCTCAATAAAGCCAAGCCTACTTTAGAGATTGAGGCTGAGTGATTTTGGAAGAGAAGTCTTCTCCCCACTTCTTCATACTTCAGGGAATGGGGAGGTTTGCCATCAAGGGTGCCTTACAGAAGCTCTGTGCAGTGACTCTTCCTAGCACTAATTATTGGTGCTATAACTAGGATTGCAGATGTGGCTTGCCTTCCAGTAAAGACAGAAGTAGATTCAACCCAGACCTACCTGGCCCCTAGGCCTGAGCTCCTTCTTCTGTGTCCCACAGTGAATCTGACCCTGGTATGAAGAACACAACTCCAAATTTCAAGGAGTCTTTCTTGACCTGAGTAGGTAGGGATTCTCTGAATTTCCAGGCTTAAGGTTGGTTTTGAGAACCAATGAAGTAGGTTTATAAAGCTGGTTACAATGCTAGCTTTTAGCAAAGTACCATGCAGTGCTCTGTCTAAATGAACCTACCCAGTTATTATCAGGTATTTTTTTTTACTTGATTCTATCTCTGCAGTTCCGTGGGCTTTTGTTTCCTTTTGGGGGGGGGGCAGTCGTGGGGCCTGAACTCTGGGCCTGGGCACTGTCCCTCAGCTCTTCAGCTCAAGGCTAGTGCTCTACCACTTGAGCCACAGCACCACTTCCGGCTTTTTTCTTTTTGCTTATGTGGTGCTGAGGAATCGAACCCAGGGCCTCAGGCATGCAAGGCAAGCGCTCTACCACTGAGCCACCTTCCCAGCCCCTTGTTTCCTTATCTGTGTAACAGGGCCTGTGAATCCAGTGAATGAATCCTGTGTCAACTCCAATCAAGAGGCAGTTCTCTGAGACTGTGTGAACAGGCTGGAGAACTTGTCCAGGTACAGAAGGACTGGGTATCATCGTGGCTTAGCAGTACTGAGGCATATAAGAAGGGAGTCTGGTGGGGTGTCTAAAATGTACTTTAGACTTCAGAAAAGATTGGTATGGTTACTTCCTATATATACATTATAGAAGAAATGATTCAGGAAAGACAAAGATGTAAGATAATCTGCTTATAATCTAACAATGGAAATTAAGACTTTATTTTCAAATGCTAAAAGAGCAATTATTTCACAAGTGGCCTTGAAAAGGTAGATTCAGAGGATTCAAGGGGCTCAGAGGAGATAACACATTACTTAATCAGAAAAGGTGCATCTTGAGATATAACAATCTTCTTAAAGCAGAAGGTGGAGTTCTATGAGAAGAGAAATGAATTACTAGCAAAAAAAAATTTTTTTTGTCAGTCGTGGGGCCTGAACTCTGGGCCTGGGCGCTGTCCCTCAGCTCTTCAGCTCAAGGCTAGTGCTCTACCACTTGATCCACAGCACCACTTCTGACTTTTTCTGCTTATGTGGTCGTGCTGAGGAATGGAACCCAGGGCCTCATACTTGCAAGGCAAGCACTCTACCACTGAGTCACCTTCACAGCCCTACTAGCAAACATTTACAAGTGGCAAATGTCACAGTGCTGGTAATGGGAGAAACTGTGAGGGACTAGAGTACCAAGTTTAAGAGTGTATTTGAACAACCCGGAGACTGAGGGCCTCTTCAAAATTTGCATCCTGTTTACCTTATTCTGGGCCAATAGAAGGCCAGGTAAATATTAAAGAACAGCTGGAAATTAAGCAGGAAGTGTAATCAGGCAACAAGCTTCAGAGAGCAGGCAGATCACCAGGCCCTGTGGATTTGGAATTTCATTTGATGAGTCAAGAGAAGGTGATTTGCTGCTTATTTGGGAGGATCATTCTGGTGTGAGAGCATAGAATGGACCCAGACTCAACAAGCAAGAGGAGAGGAGCTGGGAGAGTCATTAGGAAGCTGAAGCAGGGTGGGGATCGGGGGGCAGGGGGAGATGATCAGGGTTAGACACTGTGTACAACGGGAGGAAGGAGAGAAGATGTGAAATAGCATCAAAGAAAGGTCGGTATTTGACAAGCAGCTCAGTGAGGTGAGGAGGTGAGCAAAGAGACAAGAGTAAATGGAATCCAAGAATATATAGGGAGAAGAATAAAAGCAGTAGTAGATAATACAGGTGAGAAGGAACTTTGAAGATGGAGGGAGAGGTGAGCAGTGTCAAATGCTGCAGAAGTTAAAGATGTTGAAATTGAGGACAGTCAGGAGCGTCACCAACTGGACCTGGGAGAGAAGCTCCAGGAGAATGAGGAGGCAGGAATTAGACTGTAGTCACTTTGGGAGCTAAGGAACCATTACAGGGAAGAAAGGTGGAGAAGAGAATTAAGATTCTTTTGAGGGTGGTATACTTAGGAGAAGAGTCCAATGGTGTAACTCCTCTGAACGACTAGTGAGCTGTTTAGCAAAATGAATAACAGGAAGTGGAAACATGTTGTGGGGGGAGGTATGATAGGGAGACATGAATGACTGCATTTGCAGTCATTAATAATCTAAGAACTAATCTAATAACTAATAATCTAATAATAACTAATTATCTAATTAGTCATTAATAATCTATGTTATATAATATGTTATATAAAAATGGAACTGAATAACTTGAGTATAGAGAAGGAAAGGAAAAGTGGAGGAGAATGATGTAAGAGATGACATCGATCAAGATGCATTGTCCCAGGTGGGCTGGGAGGGATGGGAGAGAATGTTGAACATGAATACAGTGTTGAACACTGTATTCATAAACTGCTTTGCTGAATGGCAACTACCTTGTACAACTACTTAAAGGTAATAAAATACTTTTTAAACGATGCATTGTACTACTAATCTAACTTACAGAATTGTTACCTCTTCGTGCAACAACTTAATAATTTTGTAAAAAGAAAAGATTTCTTTGAGAATGCTGATGGTAAATGGAAAATTATAGATTGATATGAGTCATGCTTACCATGGTTAAGAAAATATTTTCTGCCTGGGCACGGGTGGCTCACACCTGTAATCCTAGCTACTCAGAAAATTGAGATCTGAAGATTGTGCAGTTCAAAGACTGAGGGCAGACAAATCCAAAAGGCTCTTATCTCCAGTTGCCAGCCAAAAATGGAAGTGGAGGTGTGGCTCAAGTGGTAGAGCTCAGTCTTGAGTGAAACAAACAAACGAACAATAACAACAAAAGCAAGCAAGAGCGTGAGGTCCTGAGTTCAAACCCCAGTACCAGCACACACACAAAATATTTCCTATAGACCCAAGGGAGAAGAAGGTGGAGAAGGAGATGCTGGAGAGGAGAGGCAGGCAGGAAGGAACAGTGAGTTCTGCTTGGAGGGGTGACTCAGGGAACGGAAGGGGATAAGATTGAGGGGAGAAGAAAAGGAGTTCTGCTTATTACTCAGGGAAGGCCAGCTAGGAGGCTTCTTGTGTTAAAATCCTAAAGGAGAGTTTTCTTTCCTTCCCTCCTTTTTTCCCCTCCTCTCTCTGAGCACACTAGTTCCCAATATCCTAATTTCTGGCTTCCTTGTTCAAACAAAGAATGGCGATGCTTTCTTCCTGGACTTACCCAAAAGTTGCAGGGGTCTCACGGCAGCCTGAAGCTCCTGCACTTCCAGGCTGAGGGTGATGAGGGTCAGCAGAAGAAGGAAGCCTCCCAGCTTCATGATGCTGCTGAAGTCGTTGGTAAACAAACAAGAGGGTCACCTTTATAGCCTTCCACCCACTGAGGCTGGAATATAAGCCCAGAGTCTGGCTGGGGAAGCCCTAAGCCTCACCCAGAAACTGACATTGCTGGAGACACCCCAGATATATCTGGGTAATACCATGTTGCCTAAGCCAGACTCTGCACCAAGGAAACACCCTCTTCTGATCAACCAATAAGACTCTGGATCCAGGAAGTCTGGGAAAGGCAGGGAGCACAGACTTTTATCCACTCATTCATTTTTATTCACTCACATTCAACACATGTATTAAATGCATGCTGTGGTCCAGGATGTGCTAGGCACAAAGGGGTGTGTCCTTAGAGAAATGATCGCTCAGAAATGACAGACACTAGGTAGCAAGGGTGTGGTCTGCTCTTTCACGTCTCTCCTCCCTTCTCCAGAAAGGTCACCCCTGTGATTGAGGGTGGGGAGGGGCAATGGGAGAGCTAGCAGACGTGCTTTCCCATCATCTGATACTGGTAACTGGAGCTATGTGGTTTGCCTTCTGCCTGGGTCATTTTCTCTCTGCGCAGGTGCTGTGGTATGATAGGTGTGATTTGGGGTGAGGGAGGGTAGAGTTCCACTTCGCCTTGTCCAGCTTCGTTTCTGAGAGCCTGAACTCTGGATATTCTTGTAAAAGCCTCGTGGGATTTGTCTTATGCCGTAGCCTCGAGAAGCAGCTAGGGGTGAGCTATAGCCACCACACGGCCAGGCATGAGATTTCATTTCCTCCTTCTAGCCATTCATACCGCAGATGAGTGATTTCTCTAAGACACACACAGCACTTCGGTGTTTTGGGTGGGTTGGAACAAGCCTTCTTCCCCCAAGGGGAAGCATGCATGACTTTTAACCATGAAAACTGTCTTCCAAGCTACCTAATGTAGATGAGGGTACATGGGCTGGTAAAAGCAGCAGGACTAGTTTACAACCTCTTTGAGGACACTCCCCCACCCACGGCCAGGGGTTGCTTCCTGGGGGGGGGGGGAGACAGAAGGAGAAGAGTGTAGAATGTTCCACTGTTCCACTAGGGTCCCGCCTCCTGTTCCTGGGGCTGCAGGAACAGACCCTGCCTTTTGTGCCTTGCTTGTCACAGTTTCTGAAATGCCACCAATCCCTGAAATGCCACCAGTCAAAGATCCTTTGGGTATACACAACTCCTGAGGGGACAAAGGGATACAAGTGTAAGTCATGCAGAAAGCAGGTGTGTGTGTGTGTGTGTGTGTGTGTGCGCGCGCGCGCGCACCAATACTAAGGCTTAAACTCAGTGAAGAGTCTGAGGCCTGAGTGACTCCATCTTGAGCTAGCTGTCATCTCCTAAAGTATGAGTTATGCAGCTAACCATGAGCCCCGCCTGGGAATGAACAGAAGAAGCAATTCTCGGGCAGCTAGGAACATAAACAATCCTTGAGAAAATTGCGGGCAAGCAGGTGCTGGAGGGCATGGTGACCCTGCAGTCAGGCAGCAGGTGGTGTTTGTGTAGTTTAGCACGTACCTCCTTGAGACTCCTTGTGGCGCAAGCCAACCAGTTTAAAGTACATCAGCCCGCTGATCTAACCAACAACCTGTTTCTGCTTTGTAGTGAGCCAATCATACTATAGAATTGTACTAAGATTTTCCCGCGATGCTATGATGTATACAAAGTCCCTGCTTCCATAAAAAGTGTATAAAAAGTACTATAACCCTGAGCTCGGGGCCTCTTAGCATCACCGGTTACCTGGTGCTCAGAGGACCAAGCTCGAGCTTGCAATAAGGACTCCTTTGCTTTTACATTGGTGATGGTCTCTGGTGGTTTTTTGGTAAGGATTTCCGAATTCGGTTTTACACTCAGGCCTGAGTGCTTCCCTTAGTTTTGTTTTGTTTTTTTCTTCTTCTTTTTCTCAAGACTGGTGCTCTACCACTTTGAGGCACAGCACCACTTCTGGTTTTCTAGTGGTTAATGGGAGATTAGAGTCTCACAGACTTTCCTGCCTGGGTTGGCTTTGAACTATGATCTTCAGTTCATACTCCTGAGTAGCTAGGATTACAGGTGTGAGACACAGGCATCCCACTAATATATCTTTTTCTTACCCAGCTCAAGCTGTGCCTTGGACATAGAATTCCTTCTCCAAAGCCGGGTGCTGGTGGCTCACGCCTATAATTCTAGCTACTCCGGAAGCTGAGATCTGAGGATCGCAGTTCAAAGCCAGCCCGGGCAGGAGAGACCATGAGACTCCTATCTCCAATAAACCACCAGAAAACCGGAAGTGGCGCTGTAGCTTAAGTGGTAGAGCACCTGCCTTGAGCTGAAGAGCTGAGGGACAGTGCCCAGGCCCAGAGTTCAAGCCCCACGACCAACAAAAAAAAAAAGAAAAAGAAAAAAAAAGAATTCCTTCTCCATTAATCCTGCATGTCCACATCCTGTCTATGAAAGCTCAAATCCTTCTTGTCTATAAAGGCTTATCTGTCATCCTAGATCAAATATTACCTATGCAACTTTTCTTAGCCCAACCCCTGGGAGAGTAACTTTCTCTTAGTATTTATCACATTCATGTATACTTAGTTATGATTATTATCACCTTTTATTTCTCTCCTATCAGTATCTTGATGGCTAGGATGAGGTATTACTTAACTTCTGTCTTCAGTGCTCAATGAGAGTTATTATCTTCAGCAATTATTAAATTGTGTGTAAGAGAGATGAGTAGAGATTTTTACTAAATGGCAAGGACAGAGTGAATGGAAGAGTGGGAGAGATTTAGAGAGACAAAAGCTGACGATGGGTCTGCAGAGGACCCATAGTGGGGTCTTTTAGTTCCCAGATTTTGTTCCATAAAGTCACCAACAGCTGTGAGGATGCAGGTTTGGACCTGAGGCAATTTCCACTGGACTCCTCTTTCCAGATGTATGATTGTAGGCAACAGTTCATGTCAGAAAATGAAGAGCTGTATTCATTTTTGAACATTTATTGATTTTTTTCTGGGGTGTGCCAAATGCTGGCAGCCACGGTTCTTGTCCTTACAGAGCTTCTACTCGAGTAGAGGTGGGCAGATGCAATTGGAACCATTGCTTTGAGAGACAAAGATAGAGTTTCATTTATATAAATAAACTTGAAATGGAGACCAAATGCCACCTCTTCTCCCCAAGGCTACCAAGAGTGAAACATTTTCATTTTACAGAAATGACTGGGTTCCCCACCTGTCAAAACAGGAATCAGCAGCCCCCAAAAAGGTTTCCCAGTTGCATATGATTATCCTCAATATCTTGTGCTGCCAGTTAAATAAATACATAGGCCTTTGAATTGAGGAGCCATTGTACTTTGGAAGTCCACACCTGGTCTCCATATAGGCATGCACTATTATCACCATTTGACAGATGAGGACAATTAGGGGTCTTGTGCATGGTAGGTAAGCACTCTACCATTGAACTACACCTCCATCCCTTACAAACAATCATATAATTTCTCTACAAGAGGATGAAGCGCACAACAGTTGTTTAGAGGGAACTTCCCTTACCCAAAGGACTCCTAGTCCTGATGAGAACCTTTCAGGACATCATTTCCAATAACAACTAATGAATATTCAGCTGTTCCACATACCAGCCTCTTTTCCCCCTACACTCTGAAACACAGGTAGTAGTTCAAGGCGAAGGTTATTGGCACGGCCTGCAAGATAAGATCTGGACACCATAAGAATGAATGACAAACATGTCTTGCCACAAACACATTGGCATCCTGTACCAGCCCTAGATATCATAGCAGGTGAGAACCTGAGTTCCACAGCCAGACCATCTGCACTCACATCCTGACCCCAATTGAGTCCACAGCTGTGTGACGGAAGAAGAGTTATTTAATACCAACAACATGTTGTCATGTGAGGTCCCTTTATGGCCAGGGCCATGGGCAGAAAGACAGGATGAGAATGACCCACTATCTCCCATTTAGCTGGACCAATGTTTCAAGACACAAATATACAGAAGGTCACTGAACCTTGTTTAGATTGAATGATGATTGGTATATTTTCTTTTTAAAAATATATTATTGTTATTATTACTATGTTGTACAGAAGGGTTACTACAATGATGATATATTTTTGTACAAGCTCTGTGAGTTGGCTCTGCACACTCACCTCCTGGCTTTCCAAGAGGAAAATGCCTCCCCTCAGTCAAAACCACTGGAGAGGCTCTGGAAGGTTCTAGGTTGAATAAATTGGCTTGAAATATTCTATGGGGAAGTAGACTCCTTCCATGTAGAGAGTGAAATTGAAATATGGGAGAGCCTACCTCCTAGAAATTGCTCCAGAAACCATACTTGTGCTACCTCATCAATTCTAGCTCTGCAATTCCACCATCATACAGGAATCTAGGGAAATCTCAACTGGAAAACCAAGTAAGTGGATACCAGTTCTCTGGCACCAGGGTAAGAAAAGAAAGCAAGGCAAGAGGAAAAAGGAGCAAATAAAACCTCACATTATGCCACAGTGAATCCCACATTGTCACACTGAGAGGACTCCATGTCATTATTTGTAATTCCTGTGTGAAACTTTTCTTCATGGGACTGTCCTGGTTTCCTAGCATTTTCCTACAATTTTTTTTGGGGGGGTCCACTCATGGGGCCTGAACTCTGGGCGTAGGTGCTGTCCCTCAACTCTTCAGCTCAAGGCTAGCGCTCTACCACTTGAGCCACAGTGCCACTTCCGGCTTTTTTTTCTTATGTGGTGCTGAGGAATCAAACCCAGGGCCTCATGCATGCAAGGCAAGCGCTTTACCACTGAGCCACCTTCCCAGCCCTTTCCCCACAATTCTGCCTCTGTGGAACTGATTTCTTTCCTATTTTCCTATGGGCAGGGAAGTATGAAAGTAAAGAGACCTAAATTCTGGTCCTAACCCTACCTTCTCACTAATAATAAAACCATAGGCAGATTGTGACTCTACTCTGGACTTCATTCATGACAAATGACAAGATAGTATACTTCCTGAGGGACAAGTGGCTCCTTGGAGAAGCCTCAGCCTTCCTCCTCAGCTGCTGAAGCACGGCTTCCTCTAAGGACACTGAACCTCAGTATAGCTCATCTCTTGGGAATATGTTGACTTCACTCTAGGATTCTCCTGAGAGAAGCTTGGCTCACGTTCTAGAATGTTCCATTCTCCTCTGCACTGAGCTGTAAGGAGTCACAATCAGTGACTCTCTCAATTGGTAGCTGTAGTGGTTTCCTGTTGCAGCTGCAACAAATTACCACAAATTTAGAGTCTTCAAACAACATAAAGCTATGAAAGCCAAAATCGGTTTCACTGGGTGGTGCTGCTTCTGGAGATTCGAGGGGGGAAATATTAATATCCTTGACTTTTTAAGCCTCTTCTTTCACCCTTGGCTGGTAGCTTCTTCCTCCATCTTCAAAGCCAGCAGCAGAATAGTTTGCTTCAGTTATCATATTATCTCTTCTATTGTCAAGTTTATTTCTTCCTCCCTCATAAAGGCCTGGCTAGATAGTCTAGCATAATCTCTTTTTTGTAAGATCGTTAACTTTACCCTATCTGCAAAGGCTCTTTTGCCATATATGGCAGCATTCACAGGTTCTGGGAATGGAGGTGTGGACCTCTCAGGGGCCATTGTTTAGGCCACCACAGGGACCTGTACTCTTTTCCAGATCTGAGACTATCCATCAGCTCTTCTATCCAATCTCCTCAGAATAAAATCATGTATCTTTCTCCAGATCTATCATCTTACCCTTCTATACCACCCTTTAGGCTCTGGTATATTCTAGAATGTGCCACCCAATGAAACTTTCTTGTGAAGATGGGCAGTTCATATCCATGCTGTTCAACACAGCAGACATTACCACCTGTAGCTATTGAGCGCTTCAATGGAAAACTGTGACTGAGAAATGGAATTTTAAATTTCATTTCATTTTAATGCTGTGAGAGACCTGTAGAAATTTTAGAGACAGTTCTGTCCAACTCAAAGTTTCTCCTAAGCATAATCTTAAATCTTACAGAGGTTTTACTTAACAAAATATTTAAGTCATCTTTTTAAAGGATTTCTTCCTTAAAACTACCTATTATTGTTTTTAAAATTAGTTCCTTGCTTGAGTACTTTTAAAAAAATTTTATTGTTACTATAAAGGTATGTACAGAGGAGTTATAGTTAAAAAGAAATTACCTATTATTTTGAAATTTCAGCTGAAATTTAAATAGCCACTCTGGCCAGTGACTAACATATTGGACAACTCAGATCTAGACCAAGGAAAGCAGGAGCTCCAATCAAGCTGGCTAGCTGCTAGCTTCTCTCCACACCTGTTTTGATCAGCTCTACCCCTAACTACCTTCTCAGTCTGTGGAATCTGAAGAAGATCTCAGTGGGGACTCTGGAACACTGGGGTTTAGGTGAGGGAAGGACAAGGAAGGAAAATGGATCTGTTGGCCCAGAGAAAGTACAGAGTCCTGGTTCTACTTTTGCATAAAACTAAAAACACTCTTTTAGTCTTTAAAGTCATTTCCACTTTGTTTATTGGACTCAATGGGCCATCCATTGGGGGAACCACAGAAACGTGTTAGAGGAAAAGGTATGAACCTTTGTGCTGGTAACACGTTTGCTGAGTGAGTGGCTTTTGGCAAATTACTTCCCTGTCCTTGACCCCCACCCCCCAGCAAACCATCTGGCTGGACCAGATGATTTAAGGGTTCCTCTCAGCTTTAACACAGTGTGATTCTAAGTGTCTCAGATCAGGCTTTTTGTGTATATAATTCTTCGACACTCTGTTTCCTCTGACCTATGTGAAAGAAGTTCTGAGAATGATTGGGTAGGTTCTTCCACAACACTCAGAGCCACATTAGACCTTCCTCCTCTGACCTCAGTGACACTTCGCGTTTGCTTTGATCTATGAATAAATCTGACCCTCAGAACCTTGAGAAGCTGAGGCTCAGAAAAAGAGGGAGAGAGAGGGGTCCAGCTCATATAAGAGCCCTTGTAGAGTGGGTTATAGTATTCCCATTGACAGGTGGGAAAACTGAGGTCTGTAAGACAGAGTGGCATTTCTGTGGATATATTTATTATAGAATGATAAAAGAATTTCCTAATGTGACACTGATTATAAGATGATAAGGCCGTTTTTCTGACTCTGAGCTCCCTCCTCTTCCCTCTGTATTATGCTGTTGCCCTCTATTTACAATTTCTCCAGGAGATATCAAGCTCACAACACTTAGGATCACAGCTACTCTCTTGCATCATCCTTTCAGGATGCTCCCCAAGCAGGTGAGCCAGCCAGCTCACTTCTCTGCACCTATTTTTTTTCACTGATAAAATTCAGGGCAACAGTCCCCACCTTGTCAGGGTGTGATAATATTTATATCATAATTGTAATATGTTATAATAGTATAATATTATGTAACAAAACATTAACATGTAGCCTATTATAATATATTAATATACTTATATATGATACACAATACTAATACTTATCATAATAATAGAATACTTCCTTGTTGGAAGCGTTAAGTAAGATCATGGATTAGCCTGGAGCATATGTGAAGGACTCAGTAACTGCTCCCTCTTCTTGGTTTTGCAACAATTCTTTGTCCTTACTAATAACACTAGATAATCCCCTCCACCCCAGATCAAGTTAGAAATCACAAATAAAATGTCTACATTTAACAAGATGTTTTATTAACCCCCCCTCAAAATGCATGAAATCAACTGCATCAACTATGTATCCACAATGGCAGAGAAACAGTATGATAGACCATCCCCATGGGGGATACATGTCCTTTGAGCAAACATAAATACTAGGAATAACACCAAATACAATAACAAGGCATACAGTAAAGATGAGGGCCAGGAACTACCGAGAGGCACTGTGGGTCTGGAGGATAAGGTGGTTCTCACTGAGAACTATCTGGGCTCCGGTGACATTCCCTAAAGATGTTCCGAATCCCCATCCTGCAGCAAGTTCAGTTCAGTTCCAAGTCATCCACGTATTCCTGCACCCAGGTGTCATTGGGGTTGGCACACACTTGCCTGCCCTTTTTGGTTTGGAACCTGTAGAGCAAAAAAACCCCAAATGGACAGATTAGAATCTTATGTGCTCTGAGGACACCTACCATGCCTGACCTGTGGTCGTTCTCTGAACATGGTCCATGCTGGGCATCTCTAGTGGGTGGGATCCTTTCTGGGTGGCCTTGGCACCTGACTTCCTGTAAAATTCTATCTATTGGCTTCAGCTTATGGGTTTTGTGGCCAAGATGGATGTATCGCCCCATTTCTTACCACTCCTAGACATTCTGTTCACATGTTTTCCTAGCATGTTTTTATGCCAGAATCACATGTCTCTAGCGTATGTGACTTTATTTTTGGCTTTTCCTGATTTTCTGGCCTTTGACTATCTTCCCTCCTCGAAAGGAAGGAGCCTGCCCCTGACCCAGACAATTGCAAGACCTCACTGTTTTCCCACCTGCTTGATCACCTCCTGCCCCCTTCCCATTCCACCTGCCCCTATTTGAATCCTGCCCTCCCCAGTGCCTCTTAGGGCAGTCCAGGAGTTCATACTCACACCACGGCTGGCTGGGAGCAGAGGCTGCTGGTCTCATAGTAATCCATCACAAAGGTACGAGGAATCTTCCGCAGAGTATAAGAGAAACAGCAGGCCGTAGGAGGGTCTGAGCCCACTGTGGGGGGGAAAAGGGTCAGGGTGAAGTGAGATCAAAACTCTACCTGGGAGCAGTTCATTTGGGCTTCTAGCAGTGCACCTTTCATGAGCATCTGTGTGAACTACCAGAACCCCAAACATGGTCCCTATATCTATGCCCGTTCACCCACCCAGGAGGAGACTCTTATTCTAAATAGAGAACCTCAGAGAAAAGAAAGAATTCTAGAGGTTTGGAACTGGACTGAACCTCAGAACATGTCTCATTTCTTTTATAGTACACATGGGGAAACAAAGCCACAGAGGGGGAAGGGCTTAGCCAGTAGTCAGAGACAGGGCCAATGTAACAGTCTGCCTTCTAGCCCATCCTTTTCCTCTGCTAGCTGGTTATTATTATTATATTTTGGTGCTGGGACTGGGCCTTGCTTTCAGGGCCAGGGTACTCTCCATTGGATTGTTTTGTTCAAGGCTTATGCTCTACCACTTGAGCCATAGCTCTACTTCCACCTTTTGGTGGCTAATTGGAGATAAGAGTCTTACAGACTATAACTACTGAAAGATAAATATATGTTATATATATATGTATATATATATATATATGTAAATTAAAGAACAAAAAGTCTCACAGATTTTCCTGTCCAGGGTAGCTTTGAACTGCAGTCCTCAGATCTCACCCTCTTAAGTAGCTAGGATTACAGGGGTGAGCCACTGGCATTTGGCGCTAGCTGTTAATTCTTAACCAATGGGAGCTTGAGGCGTATGGAGTATTTACTAGCCTCTCTATTGAACCACAAAATACTTGGAAATCTTCCCAGCTCATTTTTGTCTCTTAGCTACATCCCAGTGTTGGGTCAGCCCCAGCTATGAAAGTAGAGTCTGCCCCCACATCGGTGCTTGGAAGTAGCAGCAGAAAGAGTAGACTTACTTGGTGCTGAGAGACCTGGAGTGCAGAAGGCAGCCCCAAGCACAAGGAGAGAAAGGACTGTCACGTAGAACTTCATGGTCTTGGTGGAGGAGAAGGCTGCACAGAGTTGAGATTGCAGAGCTCAGAAGCTTCAGAGCCTCGCTGTGGTCCTGTGCTGATCTGAGCTGAGAGTCCCTCTTTATAGGGACTCTGGGGCTTGGGACGGAGGTTGGAGGTACAGGGAGGCAAGTGGAATTTCCAGGGCAGTGATGATGTCATGGTGCCAAGAAGGAAAGGAAAGTTTGTTGAGAGTGAAGAGTTCCTTCCCCAGAGTGGTATCATCACGGAAGAAAGAGGAGGGAGCCGGAGGGGAGAAGTGCTAAGGGGAAGTGGTACACCAAAGACAGTGACCAAACCTGGGGAGGGAGGCTCCAACCAGAGAGGAAGGGGGAGATGTTCACATCTGCTAGAAAAACGCCTTGTGGACAACAGCCAAGTGCTCTTGGTGTTTGACACCCAGAAATTGGAAGCTATATGTCTGCCTTACCAGGTTGGCCATAGTTTCTAGGTCAACTGTAGTTTCCAGAATGAAGTATGGCCAGGGAAAAAAAAACTGTTGACCACAATGGGCATTTCCACATAATCAGCTTCATTTCTTCATTATTGTATACACAATCACCCCAGGACAGAGGTCCTGATTTCCTGTTTAGAGCAAGGAAGGAAAGGAAAAGCAATCAAGATTTCAAGGTAATTTCTTGGATTGATAAAAGATCAGGAGGCTTGGACACTGGTGGCTCACATCTGTAATCCTAGCTACTCAGGAGGCTGAGATCTGAGGAGCCAAAAAAAAAAAGCTCAGGGACAGCATGCAGGTCCTGAGTTCAATTCCCACAAAGATGATGACCACCACCACTAAAGATCACGAGACAAAAAAAAATGTCTATAAGAGTCAAGTTTGGGAGACACAAAGAATGTTCTAGTATACGAGTCGGATGGACTACCTAGGAGAGCTCATCTGTGATCTGGAACTAACTTATTATGCATATAATTCCCCGGCCAGTCCCTGGGGAATGCCTCAGGTCCCTGTGTAGAAAGTGAAGTTCACCAAGGCCAGGGGATACAGGAATGCAGGAAGTGGGGTAAAAGAGGGCGATTCAGATAGTTGGACCAACATGGCACCCTTTAACTCCACTCCTCTCATCTCTGTGTGTGCAAGGTGACCTGCTCTGCTCTGAGAAAGAAAACTAGAAGAATGAAAGAATGGAGAGCCCAGTTCCTAGGTGCTTCTGAGGTATAGGACAGGAAGCATCCTAGTGGTGCTTCAGGGTCCTCTGATAAAGTACGGTTCTCCAGTGTCATCCTCCCCTCTCTCCCCTGCACAAATGTAAGTGCCTCCCCTCCCCCCTGCATATCTCTGTGTTCTTTCTGTCCACGCCTTTGTTTTGTACAGAGCTTGCTTCTCAAGTTCTGATCTTTACCAAGAGCCCAGCTCTACCATTCTGTGTTCCATGGTAGTACATATATTCATCTCTCTCATGCTCTCTTCTGGCCAATAGAGTTTTCATTGTCTTGGCTCAAGGAACTGGCTTTAGGAGGAGGTGTCTTGGATTCCTCAGATCCACACAGACTTCATTCTCAATGGCACTGCAATTAAACCCAACTATGTGTCAGATATTGTCAGACAATATCTGAATGCCCTTAAAGAGATCTTGCTGTAATGATGGCATTGACATGATAGAGCAGCCACCCCACAAGCTAGAATAAGGTAAGTGATGTACCAGGGATAGGTAAAAAACGTGACAGGGAGCCTGAAGATCAGATAGGTCTAAACCTATGGAATAATAAGGAGGAATATCTGTCTCTATGACCTGCTGTGCTGATCTCTCATCTCCTGAGGCACAGGGGGAGCTATTTACTCTGGGGTAACAGGAGGATAACTAAAAGGATTGAGCTGTAATGTAGGAGTCTTATTTTGAATAGAGGATCCTCAGAGAAAACAAGACGATTGGGACTAGATTAAGTCTTAGCCAGTTCCATTGCTTTCATGTATACTGTTTAAGTAGGATATGAAGACATGCACTTGCTTAAACTAGCTAGAGGCAGAGGAATCATGTCTGGTTTGTTTAGCACAACCTTTTCCCCTACTTTTATTTTATTTTATTTTTATTTTTTTGTGGTGCCAGTCCTAGGCTTGAACTCAAGACCTAGGTGCTGTACCTGAGTTTTGTGGCTTAAGGCTAGCATTCTAACACTTGAACCACAGCTCTACTTCTGGGCTTTTAAATTTTAAATAATTTTAAATTGTTCTTATAAACATTAGGTACAGAATTACAGTTACATAAGTCAGGTAATGAGTACATTTCTTTTTGGACAATTTAATTGGAGATAAGAGTCTCCTGGACTTTTTTCCTGGGCTGGCTTTGAACCAAGATATCTGTCTCTTGAATAGCTAGAATTACAGGTGTGAGCCACCAGTGCCTGGCTTGGTTGTTAATTAAGAAAAGTGGAATTTAGCTGGGAGCAAAGTATAGGCACCATAAAAAAAAAAAAGAAATGGAACTTGAATATTATTGATGGTCTGCTAGGTATTTTTGGAGACTGAGAAGGAATTACAGAAGTATTGGGAGGACATCCAGTCACTTCGTGGACAGTGCTGAGATTCAGGAGTATCGGAACCAATGAGGGGCAAGTGCTTCTGGGAGCTACGATGCCTGGAACACAAGAGCGCATGTTGAGACTGGGCAGCCAAATTAAGCTGGGACGTAATCAGGTTGTGAGATAATCAACCAGGAATAGGTAAATCCAGCGGTCGTGGAAGCCAATATTTGGGTATTTTGGGGAAATGGGAGCAGAAACTGAATTGTGGACGAGAGAGAGAATTACAGTTATCCAAGAGGAAGTGTTCAGAATGGCATTCTGAAGCAAGTCATTCAGTCTCATTCTTGCTAATGAGAAATGGGCCTTAGTGACCTGTCACAGTGGGCTCTTTGGCTATCAAGGGTAAAGACAGTGATACTGGGGTATGTTCAATTCCTGAGAGAAGCTATCCCACATCAGCCCTTAGAGCCATGTATTAGTATGATCCTCCTGTATACACAGAGACAGGGAAGCACAGAGAGGTAAGTAACCTACAGAAGAACACACAGCGGAAATCTGGAAGTGAAATGCAGCAAGTCTGGCTGAAGAGGGTAATTAAACTAGAAAGGGAAACGGGCTGCTTCTGATCAATTTAACAGCCAAGTCCTGTTAGTGTCATGTGCAATGTATTTCAGTTTTGTGTTTCATACGATTTCGAGCAACTGAAATCCACAGATGTCTTCTTTCTTTTCTTAGAAAATTTGGGGAATTAAATAATGTTTTCCTTTATTCTCAATATCAATTCCTGTGACTGCCACAGACTGTGATGTTGCCTAGGATGTGTCACTCTGTTCTGTGGCTTGTAGGAAGGGATCACCTTTGCCAAGTTGACACTTGAATTTATTTTTTTTAATTTAATTTTATTTTATTTGTGAACATACTGTACAGAGGGGTTACAATTACATGGGCGGGATAATGCGTACATTTCTTACCAAGCATTGCAGCCTCCTCCTTTGTTTACCCTTCACATCCCTTCCCAGCCTCCCCCCTCCCCCCCAGACACTTGATTTTAAAAGCAGGAAGGACAGCCACCCTGTTGACAAACTGTAGGTAGTTCAGAGGGCTGAGCCTTAGCCTTGGAGTCAAGAGAGCAAACTGCAAGAACCAGGAGGTAGGCAAGGGTCAGGGGAAATGGAAGCTTCCATTCATCCTGGAAACATTGGAGAGAGAGACAAACAGACAGAGACACAGAGAGACACAAAGACACAGAGAAAAACACAGAGAGGCAAAGACAGAGAGAGACAGACAGGGAGATAGAGAGACAGAGACCAATATGAGTTTTAGCAAAATTGCCTTGGCTGCTGTGTGCTGGGATAGATTTAAGAGGGAAAACTGGGAAGCAAGCCATGAGTAGCCACTGTCTATAGTCACAGTGAGAAACTCTCATGGAACAGACCTACCAAGAACCTCAGACAGCAGCAGCAGCAGCAGTGGGGCTGAAGAGATAGAGGTATCTGATTTCTAATGCAGACTAGGTGTAGGACAAGGGGGAGGGTTAGTGAAGAGTTGAGGGTGACTTCCAGGTTTCTTGACCACTTGATAGGACAGGAACACACTGAGCAGGGAGTGTAGGAACCAGGATAAATGAAGGAGGCCAGGAGAGCACCATGGTTAATGAAAGAACATGACTTTCTCAGCCAGAATTCTCTGGACTCATAGCTGGGAGGCTCTACTGAACTGAGGTGGAGCCTTGGGGAAGCTGGAATGAGCCGGGAATCTAGGGCACAAATCAAACCTCTCTGTGCGGAGGGATTTGCCATGTTGATTGCTGGTCACATTTCATCATAACTACTCAGTCAACCTGGTACTCCCTCAAAGATCAAGCCTTAACATCATAGACTTCCCTTCATTCCTTTTTTTTCCTCCTTTCTTTCTCTCCCTGCCTCACTTCCTTCCATCCTTCCATCCTTCCTTCTTTCCTTTCTTGTACTGGGGGCTTAGGCAGGCCCTCTACCACTGAGCCATGCCTCCAACCCTGACACCGCAGCTTTCTTATCCTTCCCTCTCATACTGTAAGATTTTACACATAATCAAGTCTAATTTATTCACTCACAAGGCATTGATTAAGCACCACTATGTGCCAAGCATCATGGTTGTGATTGGAGACACATTGATAAATATTACAGGCAGAGCTATAGAGCTGACCATCAATTTAACCTGAGGACATCAATTTACCATCCAAGAAATTTCTAAGTCTCTCCCAACTCAACTGTCCTACAGCTCCTTTCCATTGTACATCAACATGCAGATCAAGCTTAGTATGCCTATACGTGTATTGTTTTCCAATCCAAGTAAAAACATATGGCTAAGGGTTATTTCCTGATTTGTAAATTGATATGGAAAGTCTTAAAAATGTATAAACACTGGGACTGAATTGTATATGTACTAAATGACTTTTATTAAAAGGAACAAAATTATAAGAAACAAGATACCGGGCTGAGATATTCATTGCATTAGAATTATCATGAGCTAGGATTTGGTTAGCTAAGCTAACATTGGGACATGGTGTGAATGTGTCTTAAAAGTGACAGGATATTGGGCTGGGAAGGTGGCTCAGTGGTAGAGTGCTCGCCTTGCATGCCTGAGGCCCTGGGTTCGATTCCCCAGTACCACATAAGCAAAAAGAAAAAAAGCCTGAAGTGGTGCTGTGGCTCAAGTGGTAGAGCCTTAGCCTTGAGCTGAAGAGCTGAGGGACAGCATCCAGGCCCAGAGTTCAGGCCCCACGACCGGCCCCCCTCCCCAAAAAAAGTGACAGGATATTATTTAAATTTTTTAGGAAGAATTTGCATAGATGACTAAAGGATGCACTGTGGTAAATGCTGCAATCTTGGAAGTAGATACTGTCCATTATCTGCAAAGTGACTGACTCAGCATTTCCATTTCCCCTTTTCACCCTCCCCAACTCCTAGAAGTTCACTCGCAGAAACTGAGACATGAATATGAAGGTGGTTCCCCTAGAAATGAGAGAGTATATTTGGGGTATTAATCAGGGCTAGGTGACAGGAAGGGTAAACTGAGAAGGAAGCTTCATCTATGAAGTAGTTTCTATTGAAATGAAAGACCGTAAAGTCCTTTCTTTGGAGTTGATAGCAATGTAGGATCATTCACCTTCCTTGCTATCAGCATCAGCAACATAAGGAGGGATGAAAACCGAGCCTGATGGCTGAAAAATGTAACGCCAGGACTGAGTGTGGTGACATATGCTCATAATCACAGCTGAACTCTGAAGATGGGGAATGTGAGGACAGTGGTTTGAGGCCAGCCAGGGCAAAAGGAAGATTCCCATCTTAACCAACAAGTCAGGCATGGTGGTATGCACTTACAACCCAGCAACTAGAGGGTTAGGGATTAGGTAGGAGGCTTGTAGGCCCAAGACCATTGCTGGGCAAAAATGTGAGATCCTGTCTGAAAAAGAATGGGCTGAAAGTGTGACTAAAGTGGTAGAGCACTAAAGTGCTAGAATCACACTGCCTAAGTGTGATTCCCTGAGTTCAAACTCAAGTACTGCCCACAAAAATGTGTTTCTACAGACACTTAGAAAGAGAGGATTCCTCAGATGGAGTTTGGTTCACTTCTGGCTTCTGGCTTCCATGGTTCTGTGACATCCAACATATCAACTCTAACTCCTTTGGGGAGAATTCAAGACCTTTCCTGTTTTGGCTCCAACTTAGCATCATTGTCCACATTCCGCCCCATTGCTCTGCAACACCAGAACCACTTCCATTTCCTGTGGGGGTTACAGAGTCACATCTGCAGCTTCGCATCAGCTGGACCCCCATCTCCCACCCACATATGTTCAAATCCTGCATAGCTCTCAGGATCCAACTAAAGGTCTGCTCTTCCATGAAACCTTTCCTGGCTTTCTTGTTGACCATGTCTCCCTTCTCAGAGGTTTTTGTTTTGTTTTTGTGGTTTTTTGTTTTGTTTTGTTTTGTTTTTTTGCTGGTCGTGGGGCCTGAACTCAGGGCCTGGGTGCTATCCCTCAGCTCTTCAGCTCAAGGCTAGCACTCTATCATTTGAGCCACAGCGCCACTTCCGGGATTTTCTGCTTATGTGGTACTAAGGAATTGAACCCAGGGCCTCATGAATCCAAGGCAAGCACTCTACCATTGAGCCACCTTCCCAGCCCAGGTGTTTTTTGTTTTTAGTTTTTTGTTACTAGTAATAGGACTTGAACTTGGAGCCTGGACACTGTCACTTAGTTTTTGGTCCAGGCTGGCACTCTACTGGACATAAGAATCTCACAGTTGGGCTGGGAAGGTGGCTCAGTGGTAGAGCACTTGCCTTGCATGCCTGAGGCCCTGGGTTCGATTCTCAGCACCACATAAGCAAAAAGAAAAAAGCCGGAAATGGTGCTGTGGCTCAAGTGGTAGAGCGCTAGCCTTGAGCTGAAGAGCTGAGGGACAGCGCCCAGGCCCAGAGTTCAGGCCCAACGACGGGAACTCTCTTCCCCCCCAAAAAAACTAAAAAAGAATCTCACAGACTTTCCTTCTCAAGCTGGCTTTGAACTTGATCCTCAGATCTCAATCTCCCAAGTAACTAGGATTATGATTATGAGCCACCAGAGCCTGGCTTCTTTATCCATTTTTTTTTGTTGTTGTTGGTCGTGGGGCTTGAACTCTGGGCCTGGGCACTGTCCCTCAGCTCTTCAGCTCAAGGCGAGCGCTCTACCACTTGAGCTACAGCGCCACTTCTGGTTTTCTGGTGGTTTATTGGAGATAGGAGTCTCATGGTTTCTCCTGCCTGGGCTGGCTTTGAACCGAGATCCTCAGATCTCAGCCTCCTGAGTAGCTAGGATTACAGGCTTGAGCGCCCGGCTCTTTATCCATTTTTAAGAGCTTAATAATAAACACAATCCAGTGAGCATATTATAATTTGCATTGTAATTTTGTCCTAGAGGAAACAATTAGGTTTCCTTATTGCTGCACTATAGATGCCCTACCCATGTTGGAAGATGCATCTATCTATATTTGGTTGTTCCCATAGCAAGCTTTCCTAGAAATACATTTTCTAGGTCAATGGGTGCTGACATATTGACACCCACACTAGTGTTTCACCCAGGGCCCTCATCACTTGTGATAGCTCCATGAATGGATGGAATAACTGAAACATGACCTCATGTTGTTGTCATTTTTGTTGGTCATGGGGCCTGAACTCTGGGCCTGGGTACTGTCCCTCAGCTCTTCAGCTCAAGGCTAGCGCTCTACCACTTGAGCCACAGTGCCACTTCCAGCTTTTTCTGTTTATGTGGTGCTGAGGAATCAAACCCAGAGCCTCATACATGCAAAGTAAACACTCTACCACTGAGCTATCTTCCTAGCCCTGACCTCATATTTTTCTATTCCTCTAGCCTGGGGTTCCTTAATGAGTTCCTTGCATTTGGAGTTGGGGGAGGGGTACTATCAACTCAAGTTCCCATCTGTGTGGTTAGAAAGGCAGAGAAAGCAGAGTTTCAGTTCTGTGGAGTGGGTGGGTGCGGGGGGAACAGGGGCAGGGATGAGGCTGGAGATTTCATTCATAAATCACTTATGAGAAGGGGACCAGCTAAGAATAGGGTTGACATATTCCTTTCTTCTCCATTCCAAAACGCTTTCCCCACAAGAAACCAGAGCAAGTCACAAGTTGGTAGCTGAAACTTACAGCTCAGAGATGCTATTCTGAGATATCCTGAGCCCCTGTGGTCACCAGAGACTCTAAGTTGCCCAACACTTTGTATGACAACATTACTATGCTTTAAAATTTCCCCTTTCACTCCCCTCCCAGATTCCATTTCCTCACCCACCAGGGCTACTATAAAGAGATGGGGTGATGGCTTCAGATGCCAGCCGGACACAGGCCCCAGCGAGCACCCAGCCCCATCCCGGCTCGGCTGACACTCCAACTGGTACTATCCATTTGTCATCATGAAGGTCTCCGTGGCTGCCTTTGCTGTCCTGCTTTGCGCCATGGCCCTCTGTCACCAGGCCTCCCCTGCACCACGTGAGTAGCATCTGCAGTAGATATCCCTCCTCTCTTTGGCCATGTGCAGACCACATCAATCTGTTCTGTGGTCCTAGGGTTTCTAAGCCAAAAAAAGAACTGTTTACAGGGCAGCAAAACATGTTGATCTTTCCCTTTGAGATTTTTTACTTTCATTTGTACATGGTGTCTTCGCTTTCCGAGTACCCAGTTCTAAGAGCCAAGGGAGGTAAAAGAACTTGGGGTCCTGGTACAGACAGAAAAACGAGGCCCTAAAAAGTGAGTCTGCAAAGAGGCGGAATCCAGGTTTGGCAACTTCTTAGCCGTGTTATATGCTCGACACTGGTCCTGGTCTCCCCAGAGGGCTGTTTGGGGGATATGACCAGACTTCTCCTATGACTGCCTTCACTAGACCACACTCTCGAAAGAGAGATGCAGAAAGAGAATAGTCTGCTTGGATATCTAACTCATGGAAAAAGCAAGTGCTCCCAGGGAAGGGTCAGAGATAAAGAATAGATACAGAAATGAAGACAGCAACAGGGGCCTTTGTGGGCAAACAAACCCACATGCCCTCTGTGCCTTGCGCCCAATCCTCACCTTGAGCGAGGCTGCCTTCTTCACGCTCTTGAGGGACAGGTGTCAGTTGCCCTTCCCTTCTGAACCATGGCTTGTCCCTTCCTCTATAGTTGGTGCTGACACTCCAACCGCCTGCTGCTTCTCCTACGTCAAGCACCAGATTCCTCGTAAATTCATAGTTGATTATTTTGAGACCAACGGTCAGTGTTCCCAGCCGGGCGTCATGTAAGTACTAGTTCTCCTTCCTACTCTTGGGGACAGACCAATCCCAGGGGCATGCACAAGCTAGAAGAGCATCCAAACAAGGCCCAACCTTGAAGGGCCTAGGATCCAGGATCCAGATCTCTTCGGTGTGACCTGACTTGGTAGTGAGTGGAAGAGAATGAGAGGGAAATGGGGAGTGAGAGAAAGTGAGGGGTGAGGGGGGTCCCCTGAGCCAGTGAAAGCATCCTTGAGGTACCCAGGACACAGTGTTGAATGAGGGGGGTCACAGTGGGCCCAGGACTCCCCTGTGGTGGTTCTGTGGTTGATCCTTTGCCTCTCTCTCTCCACAGCTTCCTAACCAAGAAAAACCGGCAGGTCTGTGCTGACCCCCGCCAGGCCTGGGTGCAAGAGTACATCTCTGACCTGAAGCAGGAAGCTGAAGGAGCAAAGAGACAGCAGGAGACCCAGTGACCTCCCTGCAACCTCCACAGCTACCTCTCCTATGGACTATGCCAAAGGGCCATACTCTTAACTTAAATTTTAACTTATGTTATTTAATATTTATAATTTATTTTTTTATTGATGCATGGTGTTTGTGACCATTTGCTCTGAAGGATTCCCAGGACACTTTTTTTGCACATCATTTTTTGGTGACAGCAGGGTGATTGTCATCACCTTAGTTTAGGTAGACATGGTACCAAAGTCATCAGACTAGCACATAGGTTGTGGATGCTTTTCTTCTGTGACCATGTCTAGCCCAATGACAGAATAAAAATGCTCATTCCAAAATTAAAGTTTGGCTTTGTCTTTCTGATAAATCAGAACTACTGGTTCAGAAGAATGACAGCAAAAAATAGGAAAATGTGGAATAGACATCTGGCTTGTGGTGGGGAGGGGGTGGAGGTCAGGGGACAGAGAAGTGGGAATCACAGAGTCATTCTGATTTACACTGGAGGCACAGATCCAAGACACTAGAACTGAACATTTTATAATTCAACTCATAGTGTATCTTCTTTAGGAAAATCCCCTTTCCTCTCCCACTTTTATTTTGTCCTGTCCTAGGTAGGGCTTAAAGTCAGGGCCTGCACTTTGTCCCTGAACCTTTTTCTTTCTTTTCTTTTCTTTCTTTCTTTCTTTTTTCCTTTCCTTTCTTTCTTTCCTTTCTCTCTCTCTCCCTTCCTTCCTTCCTTCCTTTCTCTCTTTTCTTTCTTTCTCCTTCCTTCTTTCCTTCCTTCCTTCTATCCTTCCTTCCTTCCTTCTATCCTTCCTTCCTTTCTTTCTTTTTCCTTTTTTTTTTTTTTTTGCTTGAGCCACAGCACCACTGCCAGCCTTTTCTGAGTAGATTATTAGAGATAAGAGTCTCACAGGGCTGGCTTCAAACCACAATCCTCAGAGCTCAGCCTCCTGAGTGGCTTGGTTTATAGGCATGAACCACCAATGCCCAGCCCTCCCTTTTTCTTGAGATAGGGTCTCACAATATAGCCCAAGTTGGTCTGAAACTCACTATGTTGCCCAGGCTGGTATTGAACTCCTAATTTGATCTCCAGAATGTTGAGACCAATTACTACATTATTGGATTGGATCTTATGGGAAATCAAGCTTTCTTAATAACAATTGCTTCTCCTTTTGAGGCTTACTTCGGATGAATGTCTGTTTGATCCTCCTGTTAGAGTTTGGACCTTAAGTCTTCCCAAAGATCACTAGGTGAAAGCTTGGTCCCCAATACAGAGGTGTTCAGAAGAGAAGCATTTGGGAAGTGATTGGATCCTGGGCTCCGACCTCATGATGTTATTAATCTACTTAGGGATCATACCTTAATGGATTTAGGCAATGGATTTTGTTATGAAAGTGAGTGCTTTCTCTGTTTCCAGGCCACCATGAGGTAAGCAGCTGTCCTCAACCATGCTCTTCCTCCACCTAAAAGCAACCAGGCCAAGAAAACAGGGACTGAAATCTCTGAATCCAGGGGCCATTCAAAATAGACCTTTCCTAACTTTTTTTTTTAACTTTAATCTTTCCCATGATGGGATAGACAGCATTGAGACAGAATAATTGACTTAAGTGGGTTTTAGATGTCTGGTTTTGTCACTTACTGACTTCTTCTTCTTTTTTTTTTGGCTTATGTGGTGCTGAGGAATCGAACCCAGGGCCTCAGGCATGCAAAGCAAGCACTCTACCACTGAGCCACCTTCCCAGCCCATCTTTCGTAACTTTTAACCTGAGTTTCTCAAATATCTAGTAATAGAGACAGAAAACTGTCAAAACACCTGCCAATCAAATAGAATAGCTCAGTTTAGTTATACTATTAATATCCCCACTTGCCAAAAAACTAAACCAGAGCTCAGGAAGTATTCTGAGCTCAGAGTATTCTGTTAACCACTGACCAAATCTGACCTCTCTATACTTAAAACACAAGTCATTCACATCAGACTCTTGAGGATTAATCCTGAGCACTGATATTTTTGCCAAGCTTATCAGGTATTTCACACACACACACATATTAAAGGTCAAGACCACTGAATTGTAGTGATTGAACTCTTTAAAATGTAAATACCAATGCACATGCTATTTGACCAGTTCCCACTTCCAAGAATCTATTTTCTAGAAATACTACCAAAGAACAGGAATTTACAAACACAAGGAAATTCTCTGCAACATGGCTGGCAAAAAATAAATAAATAAATAAATGAAAACAGTGGTAAGTAGGGATTAAATTAGTAGAGAATTGAGGTACTCGTGCATGAAACATTCTACTCAGATCCAAAGAGGAGATATACGTATATATCTCTGGAGTATGTCCTGAACATGTGCAAAATATATGCATACACACTCATAGGTATAGAATGTTTTTCTGTTTTATTACGTTTTCTTGCAGGGATCAAACTCAGGGCCTTAGGCATGCTAAGGCCACATCCCCAGCTAGTTGTTGTACATGTGTGTATGTGTGTGTGTGTGTGTGTAAGTACATATGTGTGTATGCAAATATTTGGAATAATATACATCACAAAATGAACTGAAGTTTCTTAGATGGGATTTAAAAAGAAACAAAAGAAACTAAAAACTTACTAAGTAAGGGGTCTTTTTCTATATTGCATCTTTAAATTTTTATTTGTATTTTTTAGTAGTACTGGGGTTTGAACTTGCTAGGCTGGTGCTGTGCCATTTGAGCCACACTCCCATCCTTTCTGTTATTTCTTTTTTTTGTTTTGTTTTGTTTTTGTTTTTGTTTTTTTTTTGGTCCAGTGGTGGAGCCTAAACTCTGGGCCTGGGTACTGTTCCTCAGCTCTTCAGCTCAAGGCTAGTGCTCTACCACTGGAGCCACAGTGCCACTCCCGGCTTTTTTCTTTTTGCTTATGTGGTGCTGAGGAATCGAACCCAGGGCCTCAGGCATGCAAGGCAAGCACTCTACCACTGAGCCACCTTCCCAGCCCCCCTTTCCGTTATTTCTTTAGCTATTTTTCACAAACGTTCATTCCTCTTTCTTCCTACTCGCCCAGTTCCCGGGGATGCACATTCTAGATCAGGCCCCAAGACTGTAAACATCTTTCCCCACAGGCACCCCTCCCTCCTGGACACCACGGAGTTGGGAAGCCATATAAGGGGATGATGAAAAATTTAATCCTGAGCCCTTACTTTTTGTTCACAGTTCACTCTTTAACGTTTACATGCCTCAAGTTCCTTCTTATGTTTGCTAGTCAATTGGAGATAGGATTTATCTGCCTAGGCTGGCTTCAAATTGAGATTCTTAGATCTCAGCCTCCTGAGTTGCTGGGCTCCTATGGGACCTTTATGACAGGTGTTCAAAGTAGTTATTAAATTCCAATATTCAGGACCTACTTTAATGCTGTGACATTTGGCATTTGGTTCAGGGCCCTAACACTAAAATACAACAAGCCATAGAGCAACCAGATACAACAAGCCACAGATTAACCAGAAATATCATATCACTGGGTAGCTATCATCAAGGAAGGTGCTAGAAAATGCAAGTTCTGAACCCCTTGCCCCAGCCTTCAGGAGACAGAACCTAGCCATCTGTTTTCACAAGCTCCCAGGTGCTTCTGACATATACTACGGCTTAAACCACTTCCTCTTAATGCCCTCCTATTCCAGTGCAGCTCCTTCCATATCTCAGCCAGGGTCTGTGACTGTGCCCTCAGGATGCTGGCTGCTTCCAGGAGGAAAGATATCAACGCTAACTTAAGAGGTGTGTATAAATGAAGCCTGGTGGCCTTCTTCTCATCTCCCATGCATGTCAGGGTTCCAGGGTGGCTGTTGGCATCTGCCAGTGTTATAGAGCTCTTTGTACCCTTTTTTATAGGGCTGAGTGAGTCTGTGATTCTGCTGAGAAAATATGTGTAGGCTCTTTCAGATTTGACTGACTTAGGAACCCAATTCCTAACCAATTACTATGGTTACAAGGATGGAGTTCATTGATCCGCTTATATTAATCGAGTCTATACTTCCATCTGTGGATTGAATGGATTTTATATACAGTTAGTCTGAGAACTACAAGGAAGGGTGACTGCCCAAAGCAAATGTAGGCTTCTGCTATCAGGAAAGCTATATAGAAGAGAGTCCAGTGAGGAAAACTATGTTTTCATGATTATTTTTTCTTTTTCTCTTGATATATAAGGGGTTTTAGCCTTTTGCATGTGATGAATGTTTCTTCTCCTTTGCTCTCAAGACTAGAAAAGGTTATTTTTCTAACCTATTGAATTACTTTTTTAAAAACCAGTGGTCTTGGGGTTTGAATTTGGGACCAGGTCATTCTTTTTTTTGGGGGGGGTCCGGTTGTGGGGCCTGAACTCTGGGCCTGGGCACTGTCCCTCAGCTCTTCAGCTCAAGGCGAGCGCTCTACCACTTGAACCACAGCGCCACTTCTGGCTTTTTTCTTTTTGCTTATGTGGTGCTGAGGAATCAAACACAGGGCCTCAGACATGCAAGGCAAGCGCTCTACCACTGAGTCACCTTCCTAGCCCACCAGGGCATTCTTGAGCAGATCCACTTCTGGCTTTTTGGTGGATAATTGGAGATAAGAATCTCACAGACTTTCCTGCCTGGGCTGGCTTTGAACGGCTTTTCTCAGCTCTCAGCGTCTTGAGTAGCTAGGGATTACAGGCATGAGCCACCAGTGTCTAGCCAGGAATTACTTTAGTTTTAAGAAGGTGCTGTCTTGTATGTTTTCTATTGCCCTGTCAATAACTTATCACCCAGGTCTGAAGATAATCAGTATAAAACTCTTCATAGTGTCAAGGGAAAGTGCTTTGATAACCACCAGAAAATGGGGCTACATCCTCATTGTAGAGTATACAAGGAGGGGGAGAACTGGCTGTGCTCCCAGAAATACCCACCCCTTTCACATGAGCAGAAGCTGGGGGTGAGGGATGTGGGAGAACTCACAACGAGTCCCTGTGCAAGTTGTCCATATTGAGGAAGAAAGGGATGGACAACGAGGGATGGGCAAACGTGTCAACATGACGGGGAAACATCATATTAGTAGCTGGTAGTCCCTTATTTCCCTGAGAACAGCACCCACAAAAAAATAACATGTGAGATTAACCATACCTTCAGAAACTGGGTGGATGGGTCTTGATTAAAATAAGCCAGTTTCTTTTGCAGGGGTTTTAAGATTATCATCATAACATAAGCACATCTCGTGACACCATGTTATTTGTAAATCCTAACAGGCAACTAAAGGGAAATTC